AATTTAAGGAGAAAAATGTGATGGCAATAAATCTATATACATATATAATATTTCTTATAATAAACAGATAAGATATATATATATACAATATATATGTATATATAACCTACATATGTAACATCAATGTGCACGTGCATGCAGATGCGAATATGAGAGCGCGTACTACATTTTTACATCTTTTATTTTATTATGTTTATGAAATGTGTAATGAAAGTTTACGTAACAACCAAATATTCAAATTCAATAATATATAACAGTAATTCGTCTGTTTCTTATCCTATTGTAACTTACAGATTTTATAATATAGATTTTATCTATTAAAGTCTTTGCTCTTTCAAGTATTTAATGCTCATAATTCATGTAAAGTTCCAGATTTATTATACGTATATTGGCGACATTTATAGTACAAACATAATTGTCAGTAACTTAATCGATTTGTATCATAAATTTTCAAAATAGGGAAGTGAGAACTTTGTTTGTATGTTTCTGCAGTACACTCTCCGCTACACTCACATTTTTCACACAGATTTCATACTATTGTATTCATCAATATGTATTTAATAAGACACTTTAAAATAACTGTTAGAATTTAGAAAAATTCGTTCTCAGCAGACGTTTTCAGCAATAAGTTTGACTCTGATGTGTTTCGATTTTACTAAAGTCCAAGAATGTTAACTATTAGATACGGCGGATAAGTTGAAATTATTATTATTGAAGGTACGTACTACACATATATAAATTATGCAAAAACGTCACATTGATATTAACAATCAGTTTATGATGAACTCTATAGATCAGGGTCGAATGAAACTTTATAGTCAATCAATTTATCAAAGAAGACAAATTATAAATCTGACTTCTTTGACAGTCAATCATTATCTGATATTTACTGAATCATTATAAGTAATTACTTAGATTAAACAAAAAATCTTTGCCTATTTATTTTTATTCAGTGTTTTCTTGCTGTAGACGTATAATGAATATTGTTCAGCTGATGACAAAAAACCAGGAAACGTAGCGCGTATAATATATTCGAAAAATTGAAATGACGATGCACTAATCACAGGTTAAACATATTAATATGAACAAAATAAAATGTTGAACAGAAAGTTTGTTTAAACAAACAAATACTGAAGTTTAATATAGATGCAATAATTCGTCTGCTTTTTGTTCTGTTGAGTCTTATAGATTTTATCTTTATAGTATAAGTATAGTATAATTATAAGTAAATTAATTAATAATATAATATTAATTTTATAGATTTATTATTAAATCAATATTTTTTAGACATGTATATATTTTTATAACTTGCTAATAATTAATTTTATTTAAAACTGTATTTTTATACTTTCCATCCGTGTTTGATTATCCATAAAGATGAAAACAGAAGAAAAAAATTATAATTTTCCGGTCTTTTTGATGGGTCTCTTTGATGGTTACGAAAATTTGTCCAGAATAAACAGTTTTCAATAGTATCTCGTCGGCGCCATTATACTATTTATCACTCGATAAACACAAATATCAAGATATACGAAAATAGTCACTCACGAAATTAGCGCACCGAGAGAATCAGTGTCGCTGAAAAAAGTTAACGACGAAATTTTCGAAAAGACTTCGATATATTTGAATCTCGATTTAACATTGTTATTACCTTCTTTTTGAGAGGATACCAAAAGTAAATAATTTTTTTTAAGTTTTAGACCTAGACTAATTTATCATCTATTTTTGTGCTTAATTATCAAACTCTTGAAGTAGTTCTATTAAACGATCGTACAATAGAGTTTTTACATCGATGGCTATTATAAAATCAAAATGGTTAAATAATTTATATGGAATTTCCTCCAGTACGATAACATTCGATAGATGTCTATATGTTTCGAGAACACTCTGGGAACAAAATATAGAAGATAATAAAATTAGTAATAATAATAAAAAAATATAAGCAATTATTTCTTCAAGGCTGTTCTCATATATAGAAATAGTAAAGAATCTCACATATAAAAAGAAGACAATAGAGCTGCAAAGATGGAGAAGGAGGGAAGAAAACAGAGAGGAAATACATTTTGTATAATATTATGAAATGAAAATTATACAGCTCTGTTTAAAAACACAAGGTAATTTTAAATTATTTACAAAGAAAAAATATCGATTTTTTAAATAAATTAATTGGAGCTTGCATGAAACAAATAAAATATTTTTGCTACAAATGTACTACATATATGTATAGTATACATATAGTATATTTATTTAATAGCTTAAAATTTTATTTCTTTTTTTAATATAAAATTTTTAATGAAGAGTTGTTTTTATATAAAAATTCTCAAAGTGATCTTACCGATTTTGAAGTAAAAAAATCATTAGCGCCGTAAAATAAAGCCAAGCGTGCAGTAATTTTTGTTAGATCGTACATTATAGGTGTTATCTGCCCATATTGTTTGTAATTGCCGACATATCCATAGTCGTAAGCTTGAAATTTCTCTATAGCAATTAATATTAATTAATTTTACATAAATATGGAATTTAAATTAAAAAATACTTACAAATTTTAACTTTTATATTAACTTTAAATAAACATAAACTATCACATGATTATGAGCTATGCTTAAAAGAATTACTACTAAGACGGTTACTTCATATATTATTAATAAGAATAATAAAAAAGAAAAAGTAGAAACTAATAATATTAATAAGCAAATATTTAGATACGTTTTAACGAACAAAAGTAGAAACTAATAATATTAATAAGCAAATATTTAGATACGTTTTAACGAACATTTTTTATGATTAATAATTTATATTGTTATCGGAATGAAATACTCACCTGTAATAATATTTTGGTAATAATGATGTAGCGTTTGCATGGAACATCCACCCGGAATATACAAAGACATTTCCGGTAATAATGTCTGCAATAAACGGTTTTATTAAAAACAATTTTGATTTGTATATTAAAATATAGAATATAAATTTACCAAATATATATTATTTTAATGTTTTGTACTTAAAAGATATAAAAATAATGTTACAATTAGCAAAATTGTGCTACATATTAGATATGTATAATATATGTACAGCATTAAATTGTGCTGGATTGGATCCGCCGATTGAAAATATTATCGCAATGCAAAGAGCCTGAGTAATTGTTTTATCTGCACACAGTGTTCTTCCAATTGTAATTGTCCTTGATGATAAAGAATATAATCCATATATTTCATTGGAATCAAAAAATTCCTAATAAACAAATAGAAACGGAAAGAAAAAGAACATACACAAAAGAATTGTAATAGAATCTTATGTTATTATATTACGTTATATAATCTAATATAATATAATATAAAAGATTAAAATATTAAAATGATTGTATAATCGTGTGTCAGCTACTAAAATGTACAATTAATAACAAAATATTAACATATAATCAATACGCAGCTATTATAAAGCAATCTATATGAATCAAGGCCACAAGAAATAATTTATTTATCTGATCAATGTGTTCACATTATTCAAGATTTTAATCTAAATTGAAATTTTTTAAAATAATATTATAATAAATTACGTCTGTAATATTTAAAATTTTATATGAGATAGAAAAAAATTTAATTTAATTACATAAAAATATAATATTCCTCTGTATTAATTTGTTTCGAATTAATGATATCACACTATAAGCTCGCGTCGCGAACAATAGAGAGTGTGACGTCACATAGCAGACCTTCCTCTCTCAGGGGTTTGACAGAGTGTTCGCCGAAATCAGCTGAGAGTTGACGGATCCGCGACATCGTTCAAGTAAACGATTAGCTACCGATCGTACCGCTCTACTTAAAACTCTCGCTTGAATTGTCTTTCGATTCGCGCCAGCAATTCGTGTCTAAAATTGACCGGTGCGTTAAATTGGCCAGATACAATATCGCGAAGCGATATTATTTAAATTATTGACCAAGAGACTTTGAGCTGTGCTACGCGTCTTACGATCGGCATTTCGGACACTCAGTGTCGTACTGCTCAACGAGTTAAGTACCCGCTTCGATCATAAAACTGTATAACGCGACGAATGAAACGTTTGGCTTAATTAAAATTCGGAGCCGTTATTATTCAAAATCGAACAATAGCCTTAATACCTCATCCTTCCGAAAAAGTAGAATCAGCAAACAAAAACAATTGATTTATTTAGTAGTTTGCACTCCAATAATTGTCATTAATATATATATTAATAATAAATAAAATATTGTAGTAACGTAAAGCTGCTAATACAATTTATACTACTCTTATTAGGGTAATGTTAATATAGAATTTATATCTGAAGTATATTTTCCTTTATTCCTCTTAAAATGCAATTTTTATATTTTCTTACCTTAATATCTTCATTACCAACATATTTAAATACTTGTGAAGGATACACTTCTTTCCAAATGGCAATTGGAGCAAGGCAGATTCCCAATTCTATTTTTGCATTGTATTCGGGTCTCATAGATAATAAAATAAATAATGCGGTTGTTCCCATCGAATGGCCGATATAGCGTAAAGTTTCTTGTTTTGTGTAATTAAGTACATAATCGATCATAGCTGGTAGGTCTCTAGTCCCCATTTCGTGATAACTAGACAATAAAAGTATATTTTATATCCCTTTTATTAGTGTCCCTTTTTAGTACTGCAAAAACACTAAATAATTGTTAGTTTTCAACACAAATTTTCAGTAACAAATTTTTTAATTTATTTAAGGTGAGTTTTTTTTAACGAGAATATGGAAATATTTGTATTTAAATTAAACAACATAGAAAAAAAGAGTACAAGATTAATGTTTATAAATTATAAAAAATAAAGAAATGTCAAATTAAAAAATACAATGTTTCTTTACAATCGTAACTTGTAACATATAATTTTACCTAAATTGCCAAAAG